TCAGGGCTTAAGTTCATATTCAGTGTGTAGAAATGTGTATGAAAGGAAGTTAGGAAATAATTAATATATGCCAAGCACTAGGATAATATTATGTAATCACCACAATAACCCTGGAAAGTATTGATAAGTTGTACCCAACTCTTTGTGACCCTGTGTACCATAGGATACCAGTACTGTTGGGTTTTCTTTGCACAGATACTGGAGCGGTTTTCCATTTCCTTCTCTAGTGGATTAAGGCAAGCAAAGGTAAAGTGATTTTCCCAGGATCACACAGCTGATAAGTGTTTGAAGCCAGATTTGAACTCAGGTCTTCCTGACTCCAGGCCCAGCACCCTATACACTGAGCCACTTATCTGCCTCTACCCCAGGAGATACAGCGTATTATTTTTATTATTTTATAATTGAGGAAACTGAGGCAGAAAGTGGTTAAGGGACTTGCTTAGAGTAACACAACTAGAAAGTTACAGAAGCTTGTTTCAAACTCAGGTCTTCCTGACTCCAGGCGTAGTTTACCACCCACGGCTCCACCTAGCTGCTTCTAAGGAGCATGTCTAACCCTTATTACCTGGGTGACCCTAGATAAATCATCTAACTTCTCTGAACCTTAGTTTTCTTATCCATAAAATGAGAGATTAGACTAGATGGCCTCTTAAAGCCCTTATAGCTTTAAAACTATGATTTTAAAATCCTTATGAGGACAGAAGTGGACACAAAAAAGCAGGACAGTATTGAAACCACCATAGTTTAGACAGTCTTGCTTTTATGATCTTTGTAGAAGGAAAGTACATATCCGTTTATGTTTGGAAATGTCATGATAAAAAGGATTCTTTCACATAAAAAAATACTAATTGTCATTTAAAAACATATCACTGATTACAAAAGCTAAGGAAATGTGCTATCCTGGCTTTGGGGAACATTCTGGCTGGGCATCATCTGCTATTTTAGCACAAGGTAAAGGAACTGGTACTCAAAGGGAGTTCATCTGAAATCCTGGGGATCTAATCAACAGGTAAATCTTATTTTCTATCTTCCATGTGTTTAAGAGGGAACAAATTGATTTCTTCTCCCATATTCACAGAATTAGAAATCAAATAGTACATATGAATAATTTGCAATCTAGTCGTGGCAAATTTGCATTACTTCCCCTTCAAATTCCCATGACTCATGGTAGTGGATAAAAACTTGATGGCGTAGATGAAAAATTCCTTATTTTTTTCCTACTCTCTACTTCCTCATCTCCCCCTACCTAAACCCTATCTCTCCTGAATTTCTCCCCTTAAACTCTCTATAACACATTCTCACTTTTTCCTCTTAGTAGAAGACTTCACCTCCTATTTTACTGAAAATACTGAAGTCATCTATTGTTAGTGCTCTCTCCCTCCTCTGACATACCTCAAAGCCTTTCCACATTAAGCCTCATTCTCTTCTTTGTTATCAGAAGCAGCAGCAGATCTTCTCTTTGCAAAATAGTAACCTAGTCTGCCCTACTCTTCCATTATGCCTTAACAAATCTCATTCCAATACATTTCCCTTCACTTAAGATCTCTTTGTTGTACATTAACGCCGTCTTCTTACACTGGAACCTGACTTCCATACAAGACACTGGATCCCTGAGCTGTATCACTGAGTAGCAGAGCCATCTATCATGCCCCAACACAGAAAGTGTCATAACAATGATATTACTAATAATAAGATAATCATCTCTGCAATTGAGAATTATGTAATTCCTCTTTATCATAATCTTACATTCTTCCATCCTTTCTGTGCCTCACTTCTCCTAAATGAATTCTTTATCCTCACTGTGGTTCCTAGTAATGCCATCTATCCTTGCTCTCTAAGTCTGTTACACTTTCTCCACTCCTAATTTTCTCCTACAAGTCTTGACCCTATAGCTAATCTGTTTAACTACACTCCATTTTCTAACTGTATTTTTTGTTCTGTTCTTTTACCACATCCCCCACCATTATTTTCTATTCTTCTCTAACTCACTCACTTAATCAATCAGCATGCAATTATTAAGCACTTATTATATGCCAAGTTTTGTGCTACATTGGTGCTGCTGTTAAAAGTATGAAACTGACATAATCTCCAACCTCAGAGGGCTTATATTCTTTTCAAAGGATATTTGTTCACAGACAAATAATTTGATGATGTATTCAAACTATTTTTTCTCAGTCTTATCCAACCTCTTATTACCCAAGTGAGGGTTTTCTTGTATTCAGTATCTTCTTATGTGCAGATACTGAAATGATTTGATATTTGCTTCTCCAGCTCATCTTACAGAAGAGGCAACTGAGGCAGTTAGGGTTAAATGATTTGCCCAGAGTAACACAAGTGATAAATATCAGAGGCCAGATTTGAAGTCAGCTCTCCTGACTACAGGCCCAGCCTTTTATACATTGTGCCACGAATACACTAGTAAATAGAGTAAGTAAAAGGAATAACAAATGTATATGTAGGGGTGAGGGAATCAGGAAAGACATCTTATAAAAAAGTCAAATTTGATCTAAGCCTTGAAGACGACTAAGAGTTCCAAATGTCAAAAGTGATGAAAAAGAGCATTCCAGATATAGAAATGGGTTTTAATTTAGAATCAATGAGGAGTTAAAGAAATCTCTTAAGCCAAGTGCTCAATTATGGTAAAAGCAGAACATGGTAAAGAGTTGCACTTCAGGGATATTTATTTGACAGCTGTATGAAGAATAGATTGGAGAATAAAATGACTAGTCACATGGGAACCAATTAGTAGGATGTTACAATAGTTTGGATGAGGGGAATGAGGTCTCAGTGATTAGGTGCTGGGTGACTAGGTGATTGTGCTATGAGTAGAGAGAGTGTAATGGATGCAAGAGTCGTTGAGGCACTGAAATGATGAGACTTTTCAACTGATCATATACATATGAAGGGTGATGGTGATTGAGAGTGAAGAGTCAAGGATCACCCCTAGGGTTTGGGCCAGGGTGTCAAGAAGAATAGTTCCCTTAGTAGAAGTAGTAATTTTTGAGAGATTGGTTAGGTTTAAACATATTATTTTTTTTTTGATTTTTAATTCTTAAGGGCAAGTGGCATCAAGGAGGCTTATGGAGATAACAAGACTAATTCTAGAAAAGAGATTAGACTTGAATATAAGAGTTTAGGAGTAGTTATCAGAGAGGATCTAGTCTTATATGTGGATGGCAATTGAAGTCACTATCAAAAATAGAATAGAGAGAAAGAAAAGAATAGAGTCAAGGATAGGATCTGAGGGGACACTAGTCAACAGCAAGGAGGATATTAATGATGAGTCCACAAATGAAACAAAGAAATATTACTCTAAGGGGCAGCTAGGTGGCACAGTGGATAGAACACTGGCCCTGGAGTCAGGAGGTCCTGAATTCAAATCCAGCCTCAGACGTGTGATACTTACTAGCTGTGTGACCTTGGGCATGTCACTTAACCTCATTGCCTAGTCAAAAAATATATATAATAATTAAGTTAAAAAAATAAAAAAATAAATATTGCTCTAACAAGTTGTAAAAGAACTACATTAGAATGTGTCACAAAAATATCAGAGAGGAGAGCTGGTCAATAGTTTTAAGTGGTGCAGAGAGACTGAGAAAAAGAACTCAGAAAAGGCCATTGGAGAAAATTCTGCTGAGTGGTGTAGATGGAAGCAAGATTGCAAGGGGTTAAAATGTAGGCAGAGGATAAGAAAGTAGGGGAAATGAATAAAGAAAGCTTTCTCTAAAATTTTGGTTTTGAAAAGTAGAAGTGATAGAAGATGATAACTTAGGAAAGGGGAGGGTAAATTAAACATTTCTTTAAGAATTGAAAAATCTGAACCTGTTTGAAAGCAGCAGATACAAAAGTTGAAAGAAAGGGTGGGAAATAAGAGGTGGGAAGGCCTCAAAAGAGTAAATGACACAGAGAGCTGTTGGTATTAGCAAAGGGAATAGGTGGCTCTTCTAAGACTGAAACACAGGCATGGGGCACTGTTTAATTCTATGGAAGTCATAACACCTTTTTGATCGAGTTTGCCACAACATCAAATTATTTGAACTCACCTGAGCCCTCACTGCTTTGCAGAAATCCTTTTCCTTTTCTCAGGAGCCATTATCTTAAATCACTCTTTGCTCAAGTTTTGTACATTACACTCACTTCTCTTAGCTGAAGACCTCACTTCTTACTTCAGTAAGAAAATTGAAGCTATCCCTCATCCCTATTTCACATCTTACAGTCCTTCTCTATTATCTCCCATTATCTCTTTTTCTCTAACCTTTGAGGAGGCAGATATACTTCCTAAAAAGACAAATACGTCTTTCTTTGAATTCAATCCTATCCATTCCCTTTCATCTACTCCCCTTTTACTTGCCTCTCTTTACTATCCCCTCTTCCTCTCACATAGTCATATTCATTTTATCTACTGGGTTTGCTCCTGCCACCTTCAAATACATGTAGCAATTCCTAATCCTTAAAAAAAATCTTACTATGACCCTGTTTAAACTTTCTCTGAATCTATAATTTCAGAGCCCACTTCTCTTTCACAGGAAAATTCCTTGAAAATGCTATCTACATTTATTGCCTTCACTTTTTCACATACATATCCACTGATCAGTCCTTTGCAATCTGGCTTTTTTCTATCCTCACTCCGTCTGAAACTACTCTTATGCCCTGGGTCCCTGGACTCTGGAAGACTGTCAGTCATTCAGTAGGTCAACAAATATATTAAGTGCTAATTCTATGCTAAGTGCTGGGGAAACAAAGAACAGTAAAAACATATATCTTGCTCTCCAGGAATTCCAATTCTCATAGGTTAGGTTTAGCTTATCTGCCCTGGAATGTGAGGCTACCATAGCACTTACTCCACCAATACCACCACCACCCCTATCTCCAAATCATGTTGCATAGTGTCCCTTCATTGATGACAGGGATGACCTTGCTTGTTTGTGTTTGTATACACCAAACTTAACACAGTATCTGAAAAATAACAAAAGCTTAATACTTTTTATTCATTTGTTTATTCAAATTCAGTGACCTCTTGCTGCACATCCTTCTTGAATACTCTGTAGTTTTGACATTGTTTATCATCTCCTCTTGTAGATTATATCCTTCTGCCCTTCTAATTACTCTTTACTCTCCTTTATTGGATGAGGATCCAGGGCCCACTTTCTAAATATGAATAGCTTCCAAAGCTCTGTGATGGGTCTTTTGTTCTCTTGCTATATTCTAAATCTTCTTCACTGTTCTCCATAGCCTCACCAGATGCATTCCTGTCATGACAAAAATAAACAATCAAACAAAGAAAGAAACAAAAAAACACTTTTCTTCCCCATGCTAATTTTGGATGATTATTCAGGAAAAAAAAACCCAGAAAAGCTTTTCACTCTTAACCCTCCAGCCATCTCTTCCATACCATTGGCAGGTAATTTATCCCCATGGCATACACTTTCTTTCTTCCCCAGACTCCCATTTCTGAACTAGGTACCTTGACCAAATCAATTCTGGCATTAGTCTACCCTGTAACTCTTAAAGAAGGTACAGCTCCCTACCCACAACTCCCCTTTGTGTATGGTCCTTCCCTTTAGAAAGAAGGCTCTTTGGGAACAGAGACTATCTTTGCTTTTTGTGTTTGCATCCCTAACACTTAGACTATCATTTAGCACATAGTAAATGTTTAATAAATGATTTTTCATTCATTCATCCATTCATTCATGCATGATTTCATGATCTTCCACAGTGCCAAGTTATACATCCCAAACCTATATATTCAATGTAATTTATCTCCTAAGTTGGAATTCATTTTCAACCTGTTACTTGATGCATCCACCTATGTGCCCCAATGATATCTTAAAGTCAGTATGTTTAAAACAGAATTCATATCTTCTCTTTTTAAATCTTCCCCTCCTCCCAAACCCCTGATTTCTTATGAAGGAGCTGCCATCATTCCATGTTCACTACCTCAGAGCAATCTTTGATTCTCATCTCCTCCTTCCCCTCCCCTTCATCCAGTCAATATCCAAGTATTCTCAATTCTTCCTCAACAATATGTCTCATACTGTTTTTATTTCACTTACATAGCCAATAACTTATTTCAGAGCCTTGTTACATTTTCTCTGAAGTATGATAGTATCCTCCTAATTTGCCTTCTTGCATTCAGGAAGACACAGGTTCAAATCCAGCCTCAGATATTTGCTAGCTTTTTAACTCTGAACAATCACATAACTTCACTCAGCCTCAGTTTTTTTTTCATCTGTAAAATGAGGCAGTTGAATTCAATGGTCTCTAAGATACTTTTATGTAGCCCTAACCTCTCTCCTAACTTATCTCCAGTTGACTACTGCACATGTCTAAAACTCAACTCATTATCTTTTTCTCCAATTCTTCCATTGTATATAATTTCCCTGTTACTATGAAGGGCACCGTCATCTTCTTTACCACCAAGCTTAAAAACTAGGTGTTATCTTTTGTACTATCTTATGTGCACCCTCTTTTCTCCTTTGCCAAAGTCATTACCCTCGTGAAAGCCTTTATTATCTTTTACCTGGACTACTGTGATAGTCTTTTAGTTGATCTTCCTGCCACAAATTTCTATCTATTAAAATCCATTCTCCACTCAGCTGTCAAATTGATCTTCCTACAACACAGGTGTATTGATGTCAACCTTACCCCTCCTTTCAATAAAGTCCAATGGCTCCTTATCATTTCCAGTATCAAATGTAAAATTTTCTGGTTTTGTTTTGTTTAACATTTTTTTAAATCCTTCATAACCTAGCCCCTTTCTACCTTTTATGGTCTCACACCTTACCCCACATCCCACATTCTTTGTAATCCAGTAACACTGGTATCTTTGGTCTTCCTTGCCAGTTAAGATACATGGAGGCAAGAGATTTTCACTGACTGCCCTTCATATGTGGAATTTTCTCCCTCCTCATCTCTATCTTCTCACTTTCTTGATCTTCTTCTATAAAGAGCCTTGTTTTGGTCCTCCTTACTGCTAATAATACCTTGCCTGCATTATCTCCAACTAAACCTGTTTATAATTTCTCTTGTTGTTGTTGTTGTTTAATCATTTTGTTCATGTTCAACTTTTTGTGACCTTGTCTAGGTGTTTTCTTGGCAAAGATACTGCAGTGGTTTGCCATTTCCTTCTCTAACCCATTTTACAAAGTAGGAAACATAGGCGAACAGTGTTAGGTGATTTGCCCAGGGTCCCAAAGCTAAGTGTCTGAGACCAGATTTGAACTTATGAAGATTATTTCTCCTGACTCCAGGCCAGACATTCTATCTACTCTGCCACCCAGCTACCCTTTTTATATCATTTATATCTTGTAATTGTTTACATGTTGCCTCCCCCATTTCACTGAGTTCTTTGAAAGCATGGACTATTTTTTTCCCTCATTCTTTATTTCCTAGGAATTTAGCACTGTACCTGACACATGGCATTTAATATATGTTTATGAACAGACTGACTGCCTGATTCAAACTCCAGTGAAACCTCAGGCTCAGCATTACACACTTACTCATTAAAAAAATGAGGAAACAGGAGAGGAAAAATGATAGTCAATGTCCTCAAAGTCTCTAGCCAGAATGGACTTTTTCATTGCAGGATCTCACCCCAGAAATGGGTTTCATCATCTATAATCTGTTGGCATCAGGAATCACCATCACTGAATCTTCCTATATGCTTTTCATGGCAGCAAGCGCTCCTTGGCTTCTACTTTCCCTGGTTCCTCCTAGCTTTTCCAGCTTCTTGTTCCCCAAGGTCAAAAAATAGGAGGGCTAAGCTTATGAGTCAAGATTCCCCTCCCCCTCATCTCACCAGCTCTAGGGTTATGGCAAAACACTCTGTGAGTGTTGAAGAAGACTGCATAATTTCTATGAGAATCCATCTCTAGCTTCCCAATCTATTTGGCAATGTCACTAAAAGGCATGCAAAGACAGTGCTGTACTTAACTTCTCTTGGCTTAATTTCTTCATCTGCGAAGTTAGAGGGCTGGCCTAAATGGCTGCTAAATTTCTTTTTATATCTAAATAAATGATTGTACAAAAAGTTTTTTTTTTTGTTTGTTTGTTTCTAGATTCCTAATGCCTAGCAGAGTGAATTCCACTCTACATACGATGGTACTCTCAAGGTTTGTATTTTTGTTGCTTTTGTTGTTTTCTTTTTTTGTTTGTTTTGTTTTTAATTGAACTCAATGGAATGGAATGAGTAGTAGTCCCTTATAAGGAGGAAAAAAAAATACATATATATATATATATATATATATATATATATATGTATATGTGATATTTTAAATGCCAACTTGGTTTGAGCATTCAAATAATAGTGAGCTGTTAAACGATTTATAGTAGAGGGAGGACAATATAAAAGAAGTGGTGTTGGAAGACCAATCTAGCAGCAATTGGCCATGTAGAATAATTTATTAGATTTACAAAATGGTCTTCTGATTCGAATACAGCATTAATTGCCTTAAAAAAAATTGATTGTCATTTCTGATATCTTATTTTCATTCAAACTTATTCAAACTATATTTTGTATGTTCTCCATGGTGATTAATACGCAGCATTGTAATATATCTGGTAAAATCTAAAAATCTTCCATAGAGCTTTCTCTCATGGAGGCTTTATGTTTTTGGGGAAGTTAAGTTTAGTGCCTCATGTATATATGTAGCATTGTTCTAAACATGAATTCTGGAAGAATCAGAATTGCTATTTCTTTTTTTTTTCCTTTTCACTTTAAATGTTTCTCATATTGTTTTGGTACTTTAACTCCATGATTCTCTTCCCACTTCTTTCCCCATTTGTCCCCCTATTTTCCCCTCAGCCACTCAAAGAATTGCAAGTAGTTTTCAGTTCTGATAATGTACTAAATTAAAGCTGTAAATATACCCCCAGCTATTGTGAATAAGTACAGAACCAGCACACCCACTCTTTATTTTCTGACCTTGAAACCAAAAAGCTGTAATTCAAAGATTTATTTTTATCTGAGTAACAGTATTTGAGCAAGTCTTCTTTCTTATGTTTCATGGTGTAGTTTATGATTATTGTAATCTAAAAATCACATCGGGTCATTTCAGCTGAGTATAGTACTTTTGCCAAAGCACCACAACCACCTCTGGCCTCACTCCCACTTCCGCTCCACCAAAGTGCAGCAGAAGGGTATACAATTACCTGGATAAATTTGGTCCCCAAATTACATGAAAACCTCCATAAATGAAACTGAAATGGATTAGGGAAGGTTGGGGTGAACTATCTACACGATGTCATGTGTGACCTCTTACTTTGCTTTGGTGATAGAATATGGCTGAGGTTGATACAGTAATGTCTCATTTATCCACCATTACTCTCAATTAGAAAGGCAACTTGGCAATGTAATGAATAGAGGACACTTGTTCCAATTATGTCTTCAATAAGTGCTAGCTATGTGCCTAGAGGTAAATCTCTGAACTTCTCAGTATCCTCAGGAAATAGTCAAAGATTATAAACTGCAAAGGACTTGCCAATATGGAATGGTGGAAGGAGTTTCTACACCAGAAGTTCTGAAGTCTCTAACACAAATGAAATCACAGGTTCAGAGCCACTACTCTTCCCATTGCCCCTCTCCACTAACAAAAGGAAAAAAAACTGCATGAAGGATGAGGAACACTTCATTAGAACATTTCCTAAGCAACACATTTTCATTTCATTTTAACAGGTTTTAATGGAAATTTTTCTAAATTGTATTATGCGCTTTTAAAATAGAGCGTATTAGGGGCAGCTAGGTGGCTCAGTGGATAGAGGACTGGCCCTGGACTCAGGAGGACCTGAGTTCAAATCTGGCCTCAGACAAATAACACTTACTAACTGTGTGACTGTGGGCAAGTCACTTAACCCCATTGCCTAGCCAAAACCCCCCCAAAAAAAACCAAATAAAATAGAGCATATTAAACACAGTTCAATCTTTTCTTAAATGCATAGAGTCATTATGGATATCAGTTATTGTTCAGCTTATCATATACTTGTGTTTTCAGGAGTCACTTATATACCTAAGTCATTTTGCCCCTAGACCAAATATCTCATGTTTCCACCCACCATACATTTTTAAAATTTTAAAATTTTGTTTTATTTTGTTGTAATGTTTTCAATGCTCACTTTTTGTTTCCATCAGCCTGTCTAAGCTGACTGCTAATTCCTTTCTGTCTTGCTGCTTCTATATGTTGAAAGCTGGAAAAGTAAAAAAACAACAATATTAACAATAATAATAACCACCTCAACACCTAATCTGTCATTGATTTGATCAAGGTAGGAGTAACCAATAACAAAGTAAGGTAAAGACAGTCGTTGCGACTGGCTGGTACATAAGTTTATTTATATAAACATACATATATAGTATGTACACAGTCATATAAACATATATGTATACACATACTGTTTATACACACATACACACATATATGTATATACACATACATATACATGTACACATATAGTAAATTCTATTTATCTAGTAGGGACTCTATGGGCTCTGAGACTGCTATTACAGTTATGAAGGTCAGGCAAGACTTTAGACATCCTGGTTTTCTTTAGTTTAATTTAGTTTTGTTTTTGTTATTGCTTTTAGAGGTTTTATTGTTTGTTTTTTGTTTGTTTTGTTTTGGAGGTAATTGGGGTTAAGTGACTTGCCCAGGGTTACATAGCTAGTAAGTGTCTGAGGACAAATTTAAATTCAGATCCTCCTGACTCCAGGGCTGTTGCTCTAGCCATTGTCCCACTTAGTTGCCCCAGCAATATGAATTTTAAACAATACCACTATGGGATTTGTGCTCTGATCAGTGTGATATAATGGAACCTATGAAACGAGGAAATAGATGGGGCAACATATGGTTGCCAACAAGTCTCCCTTGAAGTCATGATGTTGCTGAACTAGACTTGGAGGACAACAGAAGGAGGGCATTCATTTTTGTTCAGGTACGACAAGAAGTCAAGGATAAATAAGAAAAAATAATCAGAAACACCAATACCCAATCTGTTAGAAATGCTTTTGTGTGTATGAGGTTGACCATCAAACTCTACACACACACACACACACACACACACACACAAATAATCAGCATTAATCAAAGATATTATTATTGTTGGTAAGTCATTTTTCAGTCATATCTGACTCTCCATAACCCCATTTGGGGTTTTCTTGGTGTAGATACCAGATTGGTTTAACATTCCTTTCTCTGGCTCATTTTACAAGTAAGGAACTGATGGAAACAGGATTAAGTAACTTATCAAGGTCACACAGCTAATAAGTGTTTGAGGCCAAATTTGAACTCACAGAGATAGATCTTCCTAACTCCTGGCCCAACACTCAATCCACTGTGCTTCCTAGCTGCTCATAATTCTATAGAGGCCTGAGAAGCAAAGAAATTAGAACAGAGAGAATCGTTAAAGAAGGAAGATACGGAAAATATCTCATCGTCTTATGCTCAAAAAAGTCTAACAAAATAAAAGTATAATTAAATGAAATAGCAAGTAGAAGGTTTGTGTGCTAGTAATAAACTGAGTGACAACATGGTTGTGTCAAAAAAGGTGACTAAAACTCAAGCTATTGTAAAAAACTGGGAATGATAAGGATTGATAAGATGAATAATTATTGGCTCAAATAATTTACAGTGGTGTATGAATTACTGGCAAAGCACTTTAGCATCTTCCTCATGCAAGTCTAATTCTAGATTTATTAACAGAATTCATGACATTGATTATAAAATGATGAGAATACCAATAGCCCCTCAATTATAGGTACATTATGTTTTTTAGGTAGTTTATAAAAAAGCATTCATAATTTGTATCACTTTATAATAAATGTTTGTTTACTATTAACATTCATTTTTTTTTATTTTGAGTTCCAACTTTTTTAAATTGAGTTCCAAGTTCCAAAATTCCATTATTTTTATCCCCTATCCCACCCATTGAGAAGACAATATGCTACCCATTTAACACGTGAAGTCATTCTCAATATATTTCCATTTGAGCCAACCTTGTGTCATGTTTTAAAAAATCTTTAAATACTTTTGAGGAAATAATATACTGACTGATCAAGTTAAGATCAACCATGTTTTTTTTTTTTTTCCTTGCTATTTTGGTCATTATTGCTAATATAGGCTATAGCAAATGGCAGCTTTTGTGAATTACTCTGTTTTGGCATATTTGGTCTATTAGTTGGATTCACAACAACAATTTCAAAAAAGGTTTTTTTGAAATTCCATTCTAAGTTGTGCAAAAGGAATGAACCAAAAAGTTCCAGAGGTATAAACAACAAATTATTATCAATTTGGTGACTAATTAACAAGATCTTTCCCAAAAGTGCTATATCATTTTTGTTGCCTTTATTGTTCATCACAATGCCTTTGACTTTGTTCCATACTCATAGCTTAGTCACATATTGCAAATATGTAAAATAGATTAAAGTATAGTGAGAACGTGAATATTTTTTATCCACATTGAAAATTGAGATCTATTTAAAGAATGCCACCCACACAATAACATCAGGAGTAAATTATATAAAATGTAAAATCTTTAAGCAAGACAGTTGAAGCTTTCTGTCATTTTACTAAGGCAGCAATCCACTATAGTCACTCTAGAATAGATTTTTAAGTCAAAGAGGAATTATAAAAAAAAAATTATAGTATTAATCACTTGATATACAGGGGTTTTATGAAATTACTGTATAAAACTCTACTTCAAGACACAGAAAATAGTGACTCAAAAACACATTAAAAAGTGACTACATCTCATGTAAACCTTCTCTAATGATATAATTGGAATTTAATTGTTGTGGTAATTATAAAATTCTTAATATGATGCAAGAAAAAAAGACTCTGAATTTGAATTTGGGAATCAAATTGAACCAATGGATGAATGTAATTCTTAAAAATGCTTTGGCTTTCTCTAGGCAAAACACATTCATCATAAATCTATCAAGGAGAAAACTGAAACTGTTCATGTTAAAAGATTGATTGGAGTCTTAAAGTCAAATCTTTACGAGAAGAATATACTTAAGATAATCAACATTTATGCAATACCAATCTTGAAATATACTTTAAGTATGGTATAATTGGAAACCTATGGATCTCTTGGGGATACAAACAAAAACCCACCTTAACAAAACACAGAGATCATCAATCCAAGACAACTAAAAGAAAATTAACAAATTCTTATAAAAGAGATGGAACACAAATGATAGATGTTCTCATTATACTCTATAAGAAAAACAGGTTAAAAGTTTACATAAATAACTTTAAAACAAACAAACCTACCTTTAGGACATGATAGTAAAGACTGACAACTAGTATATACCACCAGATTGTCAAATGTAAGCATGATAGAGCCTATGAAACAGCTAAGATACAACAATGGAATCAAAAGATGATCCAAGGGGCAGCTAGGTGGCACAGTAGATAGAGCACTGCCCTGAAGCCATGAGGACCTGTGTTCAAATCTGGCCTTAGACCAATTGACACTTACTACCTTTGTGACCCTGGGCAAGTCACTTAACCTCAATTGCCAAAAAAAAAAAGATGCTTCATAAACAACACCCATTATAAAATCAATCAACAATGTTAATGAAGATGCATTGAACAAATGATTGAGTTATGAAGATTTTTTTTGTGTGATTGGAAAGCTTTATGGTACTAATTCAGGATCACGTTATTGCCACTGAAAATTACTCCCCCCCAAAAAAATTCAAAGACCACAACTATATGGATGAATTTAGATTATGCAATGAAGTAGTGAAAATTGCAAAATATAACTGCAGGTGGTAAATTTTAACTTCTACCAGATACTTAGAAAGATAGAATCAGATGACTAGAAATATACAACAGAAGCTTGTTATCCTTTCTAAACAGACAAAAAAAAAGAACATTATGAAGTTTTCTTGGCAAAGATAGTAGAGGGGTTTGCCATTTCCTTCTCCAGTGGATTAAGGGAAACAGAGGTTATGTGTCTTGCCCAGGTTCACATAGCTAGTAAGTGTCTGAGTCTGGATCTGAGGTCTTCTTGACTCCAGACCCAGCCCTCTATCTATTGAGGCACCTAGCTGCCTTATCATCATCATCATCATCATCATCATCATCATCATCATCATCATTATCATTATTATTCCTGCACTTGTTTTAATAAATGGGTACCTATGACATTATGATTTCTTTTGCATTATTATTAAGTAAATACTTATGTTTTAGATGCCCATCTCATGGCTCCAAGTATTTTCACTGACCTTTCTTCGTGCTTGAGATTCTGCTCCTTCTCATATCTACCTTCTTATTTCCCTGGCTAAAATCATACTTTGTACAAAAAACTTCCTGATCCCCTTTAATGTTACTGTCTTCTCAATGTTGATTATCTCTAATTTATCCTGTACTTATCTTGCTTGTACCTAACTTTATGTTGCCTTCTCCAGTAGATTGTGGCCGAAACAAGAGTATTTTGCCTTCTTTTTTATCCCCAGTGCGTAGAACATACTAGGTCTTGTTGAAAGACTGACTAAAACTTCTTTTATTTTGAGTGGCTGGATTTTCAAATAGGAAGAGATTGATACATCTCAAGAGCTAGAATCATGAGCTGGGGAATTGTATTTCACCCATAGAGTAACCTCCGGGACCCTCAGCTATGAGTTGATAGTCTTTCTCTGGGAACTTAGACCTGCTGATGTGAGAGCAATTTGGAGTAATCTTGCTAGCCCAGAGAGTAAATAGGCATTCCTTTGCCCACAACAGCCCTGTGAGGTCCTGTCATAGTGCAAATGACATGCCATCTCATCCCATGAAACTGCTACTGCCCCTATAGAGGTGCCCAACCCATGTATACCATCTATGTCATAGTTACAAGCTGCTATACACAAGTCATCATTTTCTTCCCAAGGATACAAATGTTTGTTAGACTTAGAAAGATGAAGAGGCAAGAAAGTATATGCTTCCTTCTACCAGAATAAACCTAGACAAAAAACCTAGAATGAATAGAAGGTTAATCCTTATAACTAATCAATTTCTGGAAGAATAGAATTGGCTAGTGTTCTCAACATAATTAGTCTTAGTACATAATTATAAACAGTATTAGCTCGACAATGCTGCTACAAATACCTCTGGACTGCTGTGATTGGACCCCAAGAGTAGCCGTTAATAGATCAGTGTCAAATTGGAGGGTGGCCACCAGCAGAAAGTTTCAGGATCTGT